GCAAAATATTTTCTTTAAGGTCCAGCACAAACGCAGACACCCCGCTCTCTCTCCGCTGTGCATACACCCCAAATACACACATATACACACGCATCAACTGCAGCAGCAGCAGCAACAGCAGCAACAGCAGCAGCAGCAGCTGCTGCTGCTGCTGCTGTGTATCGGCCTGCTGGCCAAGGAATGCTGCAAAAGAACTTCAGCAAAAGCAGCAGCGAGTTAGTAGGGGATAGCAGCAGCAGAAGGCAACAACACCAGCAGCAGCAGCAGCAGAAGGCAACAAAACAAGCAGCAGCAGCAGCAGCAGCAGCAGCAACAGCAGCAGCAGCAGCAGCAGCAGCAGCAGGGCGTCTGACATTTGGTGTGACTTTCGTTCTCTTTGTGAATTCATCGACGGCCTTCACCAGCAGTTGCTGCTCCTCCTGAGCTTCATATAAGCAGCAGCAGCAGCAGCAGCAACAGCAGCAGCAGCAGCAGCAACAGCAGCAGCAGCAGTAGGGAAGCAGCAACCGTGACAATAGCAGCAGCAGCAGAGCAGCAACCAGGTGCTGCAGCAATGGTGCAGCTACTGCTGCTGCTGCTGGTGCTCAGAGAAGATAACAAAATAAATATATGCAAGCCGAAGGACTGCTGCTGCTGCTGCTGCTGTTGCAGCGTCCAGGGCAGAAAAAGCAGCAGCAACAGCAGCAGCAGCAGCAGCAGAAACAGCAGCAGCAGCAGCAGGAACAGCAGCAGCAATAGCCGCAGCAGCAGTTGCAGCAGCATCCATCACAGCAGCAAGAGCAGCAGGTAAAGGGCATCAGGACAGTTAGCAGTAACAGCAGCAGCAGCAGCAGCAACGGCAGCAGCACTAACAACGATAGCAGCAGCAGCAGCAACGACAACAGTAACAGCAGCAGCAGCAGCAGCAGCAGCAGCAGCAGCAGCAGCAGCAGGTTTTACGTCGTTGCTGTCTTCGCCTTTTTTTTCAAGTCGAGAGGCGGCTCGCAGCAGCAGCTGCTCCCAGTCTATATCTGCTGCTGCTGCTGCTGCTGCTGCTGTTGCTGCTGCTGCTGCTGTTGCTACTGTTCCTACTGATCCTGACTCTGTGAGTGGGAGAGCTGCTGCCGCGGGTGCCGCTGCTGCTTCTGCTGCTGCTGCTGCTGGTGCAGCAGCAGCTGCAGCAGCAGCAGCAGCAGCAGCAGAATCTTGCAGCAACTTTGTTGGCTCTGGTTCGGGGGGGGAAGAAGTGTAAGACTGCTGCGTCTGCAGCGACAGTTGCTGCTGCTGCTGTTGCTGCTGCTGCTGCTGCTGTTGCTGCTGCTGTCTCTGCTGCTGCTGTGTATCGCGTGCAGATGAATCCTGCTGCAGCAGTTGCTGCGGCTGTTCTTGCACCGATTGCTTCTGCTGTTGTGTCAGCAATTGCTGCTGCTCTTGCTGCAGCCGCTGCTGCTGCTGTTGCTGCAGTAGTTGCTGCTGCTGTTGCTGCAGCAGTTGCTGCTGCTGCAGCGGTAGTTGCTGCTGCTCCTGCTGCAGCAGCTGCTGCGAGTAGGAAGCTGCTGTTATCTCTGAGCAGGCGGGGTCGAGCAGCAAACCGAAGCAGCCTCCAGCACCCCAGTTGCTGGTGCTGCTGCTGTTGCTGTTGCTGCTGCTGCTGCTGCTGCTGCTGCTAGCATCACCGCCAAGCAGCCACACGACGAACCGCAGTGCTGCTGCAGCTGCATCTGCTAGCAGCAGCAGCGAATCCTCTAGAGAGTTTGCTGCTGCTGTTGCTGCTGCGTCTGCTGCTCTTTCTTCCTATCCTTTCCATTTCTCTCGCGCATCCGCT